ATATTAAGAATTGAATATATAGTTGTATTGTATATGGATTATATGTAATTGAGAATCTTATAATAAAAAAGTTATCCATTTATACCATTTATAATAAATTAGAGAAATTAAAAAAAACTGTTTATAAAATTATTGCTTTGATTTAACATTAGAAAAAAAAAACACTAATTGAAAAAAAAATATTTTTATATAATCATATAATCATCAGTAGTTATTATTTTGATAATTTTTTATTTCAATTTTGAAACTACTTGATTTGTGTTAAATTATCAAAAAATTACTTTTCCTTAGCAATAAGTAAAACACAATTTATTGATTTATTGTTATTTTATTAATGAAAACGACATTTTTTGTTAGATGCAAAAAAATTACACAAAATAGATCAAAATCTATAGTAAATTGCTTCCTTTAATCGACATCTGCATCTTACATCACATGATGTAAAACTTCTTTACGTATATTATCTCTTATGAGATTAATATAATTAAATAGAATATTACATCCCAATTTTTATATATATATTAAAATTATTATTGTTATAATTTTTCCAATAATATTAACTCATTAAAAGATAATATTCCATTAGAATTAAAATTATTAATCTAATTTTGAAAATAAGATCATTTTTAATTTATTTATTATATTTCGTGCTATTATAATATTGTATTCATTACCAAACAAAATCTATCTCGAAAGCATTAAATATAATAGTAATAATTCAAAAACTATCACAAATGGATGTGCCCTTATAAAGTTCTCAATTACATTACAAAATGATAATTAATATCTAATCAAATCATAAAATTACGTTCATCATTGAAATCGAATAAAAGTTCTATTATAAATCTTTCAATTAAAAAGCAAGTATACATATAAGCATATATAATAAATAAATCGATATGTATGCATCATCGTCCAAATTTATAAAATTTAATTATTTAAACATCGTATTTCAAGAAGGAGAATGAAATTATCGTATGTGGCCCCAATTCGATGCACTACAGATACTGTACTGTTTCCAAGCGAGACTCGCATGAAAGAGCACTAGGATACTTGGATCGCTTGTACGCGCTGACACTCGATAAAAAACCGCTTCGAGCACGTTTAGCTCGGGTTTCATTTTGCGGAATAGCTAGGTAAATATGCACACACTAGCCTCGTGTTGAATCATAAAGCCACAAAGGCATGAAAATCTCGGAGAGACAATACTTGGTAACGAGCAGCGACTTCTCAGATCATAAGCAAGGTGAGTTTCATGGTGCGAAGTACGAAGAGTGACAAAGGGATTTGAAACCGACCGGCGTGGATCGTATTACCGATTCTATTACGTGTCATGTTAAACACCCGAAGAAAGGAAAGTTTGAATGCGCTAGTTAATCTTACTCGATGATATTTGCTGGATGATTATTTCATGGTATCACTCCGTAAATGCAACCATAAATATATGAATTCTCGACGATTTTCGACGATATGATGATTTTCGAAGATCAAATATACGACTAAATTCTATGTTACGATTAAACTTTCGGAGGAATAAAACGAAGTGCGAAATGATTAAGAAAAATTTTTAAATACATTTCTTTCTCATTGATAAAAAAGCGATGAATTTGATCTTCTGTAGGCAAGTTAGGTTACTGAAAATCGAAGGGAAATTTCAATTGTTAAATTTTTCCGAAATAAATTTGTATTTTTATTAAAAAATAAAATGTTTAAATGTTTTAAACATTTTTAATATTTAAATACTAATAATGAGTTAGTAAATTAAATTAGAAATTTCAAATTCAGAATTTTTTGAAATATCTTAAAATTTTTTAAGATTTTTCAAAGATTAGAATAATATAAAAATTAAGCAGAAATAAAAAATCCAAATTGTTCATTGTGAAAAATTATTATAATTGTTATAATACTATAATTAATTAACTATATTTCCAATTCTGTATTTGAAAAAATTTCTTATATTTTAATTTAATAAAATGATTTAAAAAAATATCACATTTCTTGTTTACATTTTATTTTGATTAGAAATAGATAAAAATTTAAGTTATAAACCTGAAACTTTATGAGGTCTCGAAATTTTTTTTATCTAATATTTATTTTAATAAATTTTGTTTTTTGGAATTCAATTAAAACATTATTTTTCTAAAAATTTTTGTTAAATTTTATTCTAAAAATAAGAATCTTGAAAAAATCCAAGAAAAGATTCCTATAATTAAATTTATAAAGATAATAGTCATCAGGTTAAGTTATTTTTTTAAATATTAATATAATATTTGTATATTAATACAAATATAAAAACAATATAATTTTAAATTAAATTTTATATAAGCCAATATTGTTTGAAAATGACATATATATAATAAATAAAATTTAAACATTTTCTATATAATTTTTTTTTCTTTTTATATTAAAAATTATGAAATGTATAAAGATATCTAAATAGATAGACGATAGAATAATAGATGATAGAATAAATAAGATATAGAAATATCTTATAATAAGATATTCTTTGTTTTCTGCCTAATATATTATCATTTATATAATTATGAAAAGAAAATGAGATATATAGTTGTCTTAATATTTTCGACTTTATTTATAATATATAATAAATACATAAACAAATTTCCAAATTAAAACAATTAAAACATTATTGATACTTTTGATTGATTATTTAATTAAATTATTTTATGGATCAATAAAATACTTAATGCTCTATAAATCCCATTATGACATATACATAAACAATATAATGTATATATATATTTATTATATCATTATTGGAAGAAGAATTTTTTAGAGAAAATAAAATTTTCTAAAATTATTCATATTTATTCCATATTTAAAAAAAAAACGAAAAACTTCAAAAACATTGATATTAGAATTATATATTGCAATTCCCTAAAATTTACTTTATTTTGCTGTAATATTAAAAAAATATTATCTTATTTTTTAATATAAAAATAGTGAACAATTAATCGTGTACAATAATCGATTAATATTTCAAATATTAAAAAAAACTAAAAATAATAGTATAATCTAAAAATCAACTTATTTTTCTTAGTGTAAAAGTAAATATCATTCTTTTTATTTTGAATAAAATTTTTAAAAAATGAGATAGAAAAATTCATTATTTAATTTACATAAAATATACGTTATATTATCAAAAAGAAGTAAAAAATACTTTATCTTGTAAAATTTAATAATATCAAATGTTTTGAAATTCAATTCTAAAACAAAAAAATATTTTCAAGAAAAATTCAAAATATTTCAATGATAAATTAATTTCAAATATAATTAAAACATCAAATATATTAAATATTTAAAATATTTATAATATTTTACATTTTTGATGAATTTATTCTCTTATATATTCAAAAATATATTGTGCCATGCACAATAATTAATAATTTTATTTTTCAATTATTTTTGTAATTTTTGAAAACTATGTTTAATGTAATATAATCCAGAAAAATACAGTGAAAAAATTTCTTTTTAATATAAAATATTAAATAATTCATTTCCATTTGAAAACACATATGTTTAATGTAATACAAATCATGTATTACACATGATTCATATCTTATTAAAGAACTTGAAGATAATTAGATATTGTAGTTACATATAACTGAACATGTATCTAATTTCAATAATATTTTAGAAATTCATTTCTCATTTTTTTTTTTTTATAAATAGTATGCAGATTCATTATATGATGATTATATGATACTATTTTACATCTATATCTATATGCGCGTTATCTAGATATTAAGATAAGCAAATTTATTTTTTCTACAACTTTATTTTTATTTTTTATTTTATGAGTAAAAGATATTTTTAAAAACTACAATAATAATTGATTATTTCATTAAATTAGTTCACATTAAAATTATCATTAAGAATTTTAAAAATCTACATAAAAATTTACATCTACAAAATAGATGAGTAAGATATACGAGTACACGTGAAATTAGCACTACTTCACGATAACTATACTAATTTTAGAAAAACGGTTCTCCTTCTGTCTTTTGTAAAGCTATCGTTCTATGAATTATTGACAAGATATCACATCGAATTAATTTTCATCATTGAAAAAAAATTTTCTTACGATATTTCTGTTAATTTCATTAAACTAACAAAGTGCAGTATGAAAAGAGAATAAACGTTATAAAAATCATATTCACGATAATTTCTCATATGGGAAAATCGATTTACTCAATCAGCAGTCCACAAAGCAGCGATAATAATAAAACAGCTTTTAATATCTTGGCAATTTTCTAAAAATGTTCACGTCTCTTTTACATACCGCTAAGCTCGAAAAACGTGTGCATGATCGTTAACAAGTACACGACAATGGCAGCAATGTAGCAACGCAAGATAACCTAGAGGGCTCGCGACGAAACTTCGAAAGCAAGAATTACAATTTTTCGTTCATTAATCAATCTCGCTAATGTATTAAATAAGATAAAATAGACGGAAATAAAGACGATGAAAAATATAAAGATTCTCATTTCGAAAAACTTGTATACAGTAATCGGCCGGTAGAAAAGAAAATGTAGTGTAGCAACTATGGTCGAGAACTGTCAAGCGCACGCCGGTTAGACTGGGTCAACTACACTCGTGCCCTCCGATCGGTCGTCAATCTTACTCAGAACAGAAACGATGATCTAGTCGAGATTCATATGATTTGAGACAAGTGTGAATGAAACGAAAGAATGAAAGAAGTGAATGCATTGTTATCAACGATAAAAAGAAAAAGACGGCACACCCGATAATTCGATCGCGACGGTATGGCAGCCATAGGTCGAAATAAGATAGAGAGAATGGATCGGAACGGAACGGCACTGCACGGTACGGCGTAATTATCGTAAAAAAAAGAATTACCGAACACTAAACACTAGAGTATTGAAACATATAGAAAAATATAGCATCTCGTAATCGATAAAGATAAAAATGATAGAAAGTGTTTTGAAAAAGAATTTCTCCGTATCAATGATTAAACTTACCCAAAAGTAGCAGCTTAAGTTCCCGCCTGGCATCTCGTTTATCCTTTCGGAGTTGCCGCTCGATCTCCTGATTGATTCGTTTCTGCTCCCTCGCCTCTTCCGACAGGCAGCACGCCATAGCTCAGGACGGCAGGATCCTCGATAGATGGAGGAGGAAGAGAGGAGAAAAATGAGGAGGAAGAGGACGAGGAGGAGGAGGAAAAGGAGAAGGAGGGAGGAGAGGGAGGGAGGAAGGGAGAGAGGGAACAAGCGATTTGCGGTGGTAGCGAGCGATTGCCGAGCGGCGAGGTTTGTCGTAGACAGCAGCGGGCTCGACGGCACGATATCGTCGTCGGGCCGATATTACCTTGCCACCGCGAACGAGCGACGACGTCTCGTCGCCGTCCTCGTGGTTTCCTTCTCTTCTTCCTTCCTTTTCGTTCTGGTTAAGCCGATGAAACCGATCGTCTGCACCACCACTACCGCCACTAGCACGAATCACTAGCACTTGTCCACGCTGACGACGACGACGACGACGACGACGATAACGTGTATGAGGACGACGACAACGTAGATGTAAATGTAGACTTGATAGTCGCGTCTCCGAAATCCCCGTATTCTCAACGACGTCGGCACACGCGGCGACGGAGCACTCCTGGCAGGGCTCGACGACGCCAGCGACACATCAACACATGTACGCACACGCACGAACCTCGGCCGGTAGCTTGTGTCTGCCCTCTCGCTTTTCCTTCCCTTCTTTTTCTTTTTCAATCTTCTTCAATTCTCTCTCTAGCTTTACTCTCCCGCTTCTTTCTATATTTTTTTTTTATGCTTCTTTTTTCTCGTTTTTCTTATTCTTTATTCACGCACGCACGTTCTGCGACGAAACGTGAAACGCACTCGCGAGAGACGTCGAGGAAGCGGGGGAGACACGCGCGCACACGTTTAGCCTTTGCTCACGGCGTGACTTCGACGATTCTGGTAAGAGACGCGAATTTCGCGAGAGCGAGGTCCGTTGGATCGAGATCTAGAGAGTCCCGACTGTACTCCGTCGAATCTCGATCGTCGGTCCCTGGGTCCCCCGCTGTACCCGCGTACTACTCGCGAGAGAGCTCTCGTACGGCTCGTTCACTCGTTCACTCGGTCCCCGGCGCGGTTGGGTGTGGTAACCCACCGGCGCTCTATCTCTTTCTCTCTCAGCTGCTCTCTGTCTCTCCCTTACACTCTTTCTCTCTCACCCCCTCTCTGTTTCGTTCTCCTACCCTGTCTCTTTCTTTCTTCGATTCACGCTTTCTTTCTCTCTCTTTCCTTCTTTCTCTCTCGCTCTGTCTCTCTTTCTTTTTCTTCCTCTCCCTCTCTCTCTCGCTTTAGGGTACTCTTTCTGTACCGCACACGCGACGAAATAGATTCACACTGAATATGCACCGTGTGCGCACACACGCAACCTATACGCGACGTATGCCAAACGACGAACGCGATTACGAGGTAACGTAGACGGAAACAACGAACCGAGGACGATAGAATAGAAGACGATGACGAGGTCGTCTGCTGTTATTGCCGTTGCTGCACGAGCGCCCACACCTCGAGCGGAGCAACTCCTCTTGCGATTCGCGCCGCGCCCGCTCGG